GTGGGGACAGCTGTCAGCCCCACTGACTGCAGTCCTCGCCTGGGCCAGAGGGCAATTTAACCCAGCTGTAAACCTGACCTCTCAAGGAATACCATTTTAACTGATTATCTGAGGTGAATAAAACTCTGATAAAATTAACATGGCAGGGATGGGGTATATACATTTGGAGGAGTGCTTGCCTGATGTGTAGGATGTCCTGGGTCCTGTCTCCAGCATTCAGATCTAGAAGCAGGAGGATCAGAAGTTCAAGGTCACCCTCTGCAGTGTAGAGGGTTTGAAGCCAGCCTTGGCTATATGAGACCCTTTCAGGTGTGATGGTATAAGCCTGTAACTCTAGCTACTATAGACAATGGAACAGGAGAAGTTCATGTTCAAGGCCAGCCTGGACCATCATTGGGGTCTTCATGTGTAGTTTAGATTTAAATATAGGGCGAGAGGCACATGTAAACTAAGCAGTCCTGGTCAGGGGTGGTCGGCTTATCATCACGGTCCCTCCAGCAAGGTGCTCTGACCAGCAGCCTGGAGCAGTCTTCCTGCTGGAGACTTGCTCCTCTGACTGGTCCTGAACTTTAGCATAAACTTCCTGGGAAATCCTAAATTTTTGCAGATCATTATTTCAGTAATGTCACACCCAAGAGAGGACACAAGTGTCTCCTTCAGGGGTCTTCATTCTGACTTTGGGAGATACCCAGGGATAAAGTGTTTGCTGAGAAGCATGAAGATCCCCAGAACTCACATATAACACACATGGAAAACCGAAGTAAAGTGAATGGCTCCTGTGGAAACACTTGAGATTAACCTTTGACCTTCACATGTATGCACACCTCTGAGTCCTGTCTGCAGTCTCCTTGGACCCCAGGAAAGACAGAACTGATGACAGAAATCTGTAGACAAAGGACCCAAACTACCTCAAACCATGGATCTTCCAGGTGGGCCACCCTCCCACAGGGCAGCTGTCTGTGGAGATGAGGCTGCGCCAGAACTGGAGCAGTCCTTTGAGGGAACCAGAGTGCTCTCACAAACACTTCTTCCGGATCAGAAGAGAGGCCACATGCTACATCAATACAGTATTCTCTAAGGGACACCCAAGATTCCAGGGCTTGGCTCCCGGCCTGAAGTGTGACTCAGAAACATCTGGATTGCAATCCTGACTAAACCTCATGTTCCACTGGGATTTCTGAAAGTCAGTGTCATCACAGGGGGCAGTTGTAAGGCCAAGGGGACATTCACATCTCTATCTAAAACAAGATCTGGCCACCAGCCTCAGGACTTGGGGCTTTGTCTCCCAGCTTTGTTCTTGCTCCTGCTTATTTGTTGATTCATTCAACAAACACCAGGTGGAGACAGAGGCTGGTCCACACTGCAGCTTCCTGACAAGTTCTTTCCATTCCCCCTCCCCCTTCCCAGGGACAGAATGACTTCCAATTAGGACCCTGTGCTGGGATGGTGAAAGGGTACACACTTGGAGGGTGAAGAAAGATTTGCTAATGGAATGTGAGGCTGCAGAAAGCAGGCTCTGAAAACAGGCTAGAAAGGACCAGGGATGCTGTGGAGGTAACTCCGGGGGATGTAACCACTGGCTACTAGAGGACAATGAAGTGAGCAGGTGTCTCCATCTCCAGTGTAAAATGATGACGAAGGAGGAAGAGAAGAGACATCATAATAGCCGCTCGAAGGGGAAACTGTGAGTCTGACACACCAAACATGGTATGGAGAGTTCAGGGTCCAAAAGTGGAACCTAATCTCTCAGGAGGCAGAGGCAGGTAGATCTGTGATGTGAGTTTGAGGCCAGCCTGGTCTACAGAGATCCAGGACAGTCTGGGTACACAGAGAAACCCTGTCTCAAACAACAAAAAGTACAGAGGCAGAGTTGAGAGACCCTCTCTAGCCTACTTCTGGATACTCGGCCCTTAATGATGGTCTTTGACCCTATAATCCTTTGGGAAGAAGGCACTGTTTTTAATTTACCAACAAGGAATCCTAGCAAAGTGAGATTAAGTATCTAGTCTAGCTGGCAGGTGGCAGGGATAGGACCTTATATAAGTGACTCTGAGGTCACCTCTAAGCTCTGTGCTAAGGAGACCATGGAGATGTTCATGAACATCTGTGTGCATGTAAGCAAGCACGTGTGTGCATGTGTAGACCAGAGATTGACAAACTAGTGTATTTTTCTTCTTCTTTTTTGTTTTTCAAGACAGGGTCTCCCTGTGTAGCTGTGGCTGTCCTGGAACTCACTCTGTAGAGCAGGTTGACCTCGAACTCACAGAGATCTGTCTGCCTCTGTCTCCCCAGTGCTGGGATTAAAGGTGTGCACCACTATGACTGATTAATGACTATCATTTCTATCATTTTCCACTTTTTTAAGACCGAATGAACCCAGGACTCACAAATTGGCTAAATTGTTTGGTCACTGAGCTCAAAATATCACACACACACACACACACTCACACACATACTCATACACACTCACACACACTCACACACTCACACACACTCACACACATACATACACTCACACACACTCATACATTCACGCTCACACACATACTCACATACTCATGCATACACATACACTCATACACACTCACTCTCACACACACTCGCACACTCAGACTCACAACACTCACATGTGCACACACTTACACACTCACTCATACACACTCATACACTCAGACACACACACATACATTCACTCACACACACACTCACACACTCATACATCACACTCACACAATACTCACACACACTCACACACATACAACACTCATACATTCACACTCACTCACACACTCACACTCACACCACAATGTGAGGATTGCAGACCAGGTTTGTGTGGACCTGGGGAATCTGACATCAGGTCTTTGTTCTGGTGAGGCAGGCAGTTTACTCACCAAGCCATCTCTCTAGACATCCTTGAAGTTTTGAGGTTTTAAATTAATCTTCTTAAGACGTTGAGTATGGGGCCTAGTGTGGTATACACACTTGCAGTGTCAGCACTTGGGAGGCTGAGGTAGGAGGATCATAAGTTCAAGGTCATCTTGAGCTACATAGTGAGTTTCAGACCATTTTGAGCTGTGAACTTAGACCCTGGAGATATATGGCCCTGCATATCAGTAAGGCTGGAGAGATGGCTTTCTTCAGTGCACTCTGTTTTTATAGGGGATCCAAGTTCTGTTCCTATCACATGTATTGGGTGGCTTACAACCGCCTGTAACTGTATGGGGATCTAATGCCTATGACTTCCGAGCACCCCCAAACATGTGCACATACCTCCTGCCATATATACACAGAATTTAAAATAACAAAAATAAACATTAAAAGATAGCCTGTCTTAAAAACAAATGAAGCCAGGCATGCGCCTTTAATCTCAGCACTTAGGAGGCAGAGACAGGTATCGCTGAGTGTTCCAGTCCAGCTACGACTACACTGTGACACCTTGTCCCAAAACTAAATGAATAATCAGGCCAGAAAGATGGCTCAGGAGGCACCTGAGACCCATCCCCAGAAATGTGCAAAGGTGGACAGAGAAAACAGTTTCTGAAAAGAAGCCCTCTGACCTCCATGTGATTCCCTCTGACATGTGATTCCCACCCACCCATCCACCATGCACTCACACAATAATGACAAGTTCAACTGATAAATTTAGAAAGCTGGATCTGATGAAAATTATCATTATGAACTTCTTTCTCAGGTTAAAAAAAAAAAAAAGACAAAATACAAGGAAAAAATGTATGGCTGTTTTCTCAGAATTTCCTATCCAGAGCTGGTGGCACGCCTTAGATCCCAGCACTCGGGAGGCAGAGTTTGTTCGAGGCCAGCCTGGTCTACAGAGCTAGTTCCAGGATGAGCTCCAAAGCAATACAGAGAAACCTTGTCTCAAAATAAATAAATAAATAAATAAATAAATAAAATCCTATACATGTTGGGCGTTCATGCCCTCCTTAGAAGTAAATAATTTCTCCTTCCAAGGACCAGCCTGAACATCTGCAAAGCTGGTTGAGTTTCCCTGAAGCCCTGCAACATCTTCCAGATGCAGAAACCCAGGATCCTACAGAGTAAAAAACTTCCCAGAGTCCCCACAGCTGTGAATAGCCCTCAAACGCAGGTCGTGTTAGTTTAGAAAGGAAAGGCAGGCCAGGCATGGTGTTGATCCCAGCACTTGGGAGGCAGAGCCAAGTTGGGAGACAGAGCCAGGCAAACTTCTGTAAGTTTGAGGCCAGCGTGATCTGTACAGGGTGCTCCACGGATGCTTGCTAGCCAGAGCTACAAATCCAGAGCAGGTTCCACAGTCAAGCCAGAGGAGGTGCAAACCAGGATGAAAGGCAGACAGGATGGGTTAGGAGGCCCCAGGGAGGGAAAGGAATCAAAGGTTTCAGGTATCAGCTGCACACATGCCAGGATGGAACATAGAGCCTCAAGCACAATGAGCAAATGCTGGACCCTTGAGGTGCACCCCAACCCCGATGCTATTGTCATTTTTACAGATGCAAGAAAAAGAGGCTGTGCTGCTGTAGACAGAGGTCTGCCACTGTCACGCGGCCTGTCCTTGCTGCACTCTGGACTCAGCAGGCGCTGTAACTCTCAAACCTGACTTCTGTGGCCTGAGCACAGACTCGGACTTCATCCCCGCCCCCACCCTGCAGGAATGAGGCAGGACTTTGTCTCTGCTTCTCTTGGCTGCTAACAAGGGGCAGAGTCCAGGACTGTTCCCCTTTCCAGATTTCCACTACCAGTCCATTTGCCCCCAGTACCTCAACCTTCTCCATTCCATCCCCCAGCTTCTGCCCTTAGGGCTCAGCACAGAAGGAACGGTGAAACAAGAGGAGGACTTTGGGGGTTCAGCCAAGTCAGAGAGAAATGGGACTGGGAAGAAGGTCAAGGAGATACCAGAGGGGAAGGGGTCTTTAGAGAAGAGAGTGGGATAGAGATGGCTGGAATCAGCAGAGGGGCAGACAGTGGGGGACATAGGAGACAGCGGCACAAAGTGAGACTTATGTCACCTTCAGGGTCCATGGTGACTTGCAGCAGCCGGTCAGTGTGTCCACCACTGTTCAGATCAACGTTCCCAGAGGCTGGGGGTGGGGCTGCCAGAGAGAGTGGGGAGGGGCCGAGCTGGGCTAGTCCTTCCGGAGATGCCTCTTGGTCCTCCTCCGGGACCCTCGCAGAGCCAGCCGCATTGTGAACCCCAGGGTCAGGAAGAAGTGCTCACTTGTGAGATTTAGAAATTCCGCCTGCTCCGGCACAAAAAAATGCCCTGTTTTCTCCCACTGCCAGGCCTCCTGTAGTTCTCTCAGAGTGCATGGCTATGAATGCCGGACCTCACTCTCCTGTGAGGGCCAGTAAGCCTCGTTAATGATGCGCTGGGGAAATGATGGTCCTAGACCAGCAATCAAATCCCAATTCCATCCCCTCATCCCAACCCCTGGAAGTGGGTCTCACTTGGAAAGCCCGCCTGCCTGCCTGTGTCCCCTGCCTCCATGCTAGGGTCAGAGCATACACCACCACATCCAGGCCATTCTCTTTATTCTAAATGCCTTTTCTTGTTTCTTGTGTGTGTGTGTGTGTGTGTGTGTGTGTGTGTGTGTGTGTGTGTGTGTGTGTAATGGACGGCTAGTCAAGGAAGAATGCACGTGAGGGACAGAGAAGGAAGCCCACAGATGTCTCTGGATCTCTCCTCTCCCCTCCTTGAGAGCCACAATTTGAATGTGTCGCTCCAAAGTCAGTGTGTTCAAAACTTATCCTCCAAATTTATACGGCTGTGGTATTTGGAAGTGGGGTCTTTGGGGGATATTTAGAATTGGATGAAGTCATTAGGATGACAGTGGAGACTGTTGCATCAGTGGCTTTAGAAGAAGATAGCAACACCACAAGCTCTTGTTTTTTCCTTCAACTTATTCTCTCTGCCTGCCAGCCCTGCCTATCCTTTCTCCTGCCTTGCTATTGGCTGCTCAGCTCCTTATTAGAACAATCAGGTACTTTAGACAGGCAAAGTAACACAGCTTCATAGATTTAAACAAATGCAACGCATCTTTGCATCATTAAACAAATGTTCCACAGCATAAACAAATGTAACACAGTTTATTTAGGCTTTTTGAGACAGTGTTTCTCTGTGTAGCTTTGTAGACCAGGCTGGTTTGAAATCACAGAGATCTGATTGCCTCTGCCTCCTGAGTGCTGAGATTAAACCAATTCACCACCACCACCTGGTCCACATTTTAAAATAATATTCTACAACAGGTTTATCTGTGCAGCTCTGGCTGTCCTGGAACTTACTCTGTAGACCAGGCTGACCTTGAACTCACAGAGGTCTGCCTGCCTCAGCCTTCCAAGTGCTGGGATCAAAGGAGTGAGCTACCAAACCCGGCTGGCTGCCAAACTGCATTTTAATATTTATAGTCATACCCATAGACCTGTGCTGTTCTGCAGTTTAGTGAGAAAAGCTGCTTTTGCAGCAAATAGTGGTTAATGCAGAGACTTGTAGCTGGGCAAAGTGCTGGGTATAAATAATCGTGAGTTCTCAGCTGCTGTGGATGGGTCATCTGTACCAACCCCCACAACCCAAGACTCAGGAAACACCATGGAATTGGGGTATAAATACTTTAGAGTCAGAGATTTGGGAAGAGAACTGTGAAATGCCCTACTTCTGGGAAGAACATGGCTGTTGCACATATCAACTCATAGAAGCTGGGGTTGTCTGCATGAGAGCAAGCCAGTTAACATGTCACCATTGAAGGGCCTCACCCCATCAGAGGATGCTGAGAGAGGAAGAGAAAGTCACTCTCCCTGCTGGTAGGGCAACCACAGGCCACGTACATACAGGTAGTACCAATCAAACTCAGGGAGTTACTGATAACCAAAATGAACAAAAGGGGATTGGAATCTGGAGGAAGATGGAGTGGGGACACTATGGGGGTCAGGGGTAGTGGTTGATAGATGTGGTCAATGTCCTCTGGATAAATGTATCTTTGGGACCACCACCTCTCTCAAAACGGGATCTCACTGTGTCGCCCTGTCTGGCCTGCAACCCACTGTGTAGATCACGCTAATCTCAAGCTTACATTGATCTGTCTGCCTTTTCCTCCCAAGTGCTGGGAATGAAGGTATATGCTACCACAAGTGGTTAGTGTATGATCTTTCAAATAATAACAAAATATTAATTTAAAAAAATCTAGCCAGGCAGTGGTAGTACACAACTTTATCCCAGCACTTGAGAGGCAGAGGCAGGTAGATCTTTGTGGGTTTAAGACCAGCCTTGTCTACAGAGGGAGTTTCAGGACAGCCAGAGGTGTTACATGGAGAAACCCTGTCTCAAAAAAACAAAACAAAACAAACAACAACAACAACAAAAAACAATCTAGAGGGCTAGAGAGAAGGCTCAACCGTTGAGTCCTTGCTGCTCTTGAGGACCTGGGTTCAGTTCCCAGCATGCACATAACAGCTCACATCTATATTCCAGTTCATGGGGGATCTGACACCCTCTTCTGGCCTAAGAGAGCACCAGGCGTTTACATACATGCAGGCAAACACTTATACAACTACAAATAAAAATAAATAATAAATCTGGGAGCTACAAGTGGTGGTGCCCGTCTTTAATCCCAACACCCAGAAAGCAGAGGCAGGATCTCTGAGTTGGAAGACAGCTTGATCTACATAGTGAGACCCTCGTCTCAAGAATAACAACAAAAATCTGGCAGACAGAGCTTTGCTTCATTCCTTACTAGCAGATTATTAGCGAAGATATGTAAATGTTTAATGATACAAGTAAATATGTTAGGGGCTGGAGAGATGGCTCAGCTGTTAAGAGCATTTGCTATTCTTGAGGGACTGGTGTTCAGTTCCCAGCACCTCATGGTGGCTCACAAACATCTGTAACACCAGTTCCAGGAGGATCTGATGCCCTTCTATGACCTTTAAACTGTAGCACCTAAAGGCATCAGACACACATGTGATGTACACACATACACACACACAGGCAAAACACTCATGCACATAAAATAAATCTAAAAGGCCATATTGATGATTAAATACATATGCAAAAATAAACCCTAACATTATGTTTATGTTTATAGTTTTGATTAAATCATATCTTTTAAAAGTTCTAAGACTGAGGAGGAGCAGAGCTTGCATGCTCAGGGCTCTGGTCATGTGATGCCCTACCCTAACATCCACTAGCACCAGGCACACGTGTGATACACATGCAGATTTATTCATGTATTTTATGTGTATGAGTGCTCCATCTGCACATATGCCTGCACACTAGAAGAGGGCATTGGATCCTATTATGGATGGTTGTGAGCCACCATGTATGTGGGTGCTGGGAATTGAACTCAGAACCTCTGGAAGAGCAGCTGGTGCACCAGACACTAAATGATAAATACTTTTTAAAGTGTTTTTAAAGAAAAAGAAGAGGGTAGAGAGGGAGGGGGAGGGGAATACCAGGGGCAGGGGGTGGAGCTGGGAAACCGTCACCATCCGGAGAGAAGTAAGGTCAAGTCTGAGAAGCAGCAGGGTCTCCGTTTCTTCACTGGAAACCATTCTTGCTACAGTTGGGGGGCTGATTGCCAAAGTCCATGGTACTTCCAGCTCCCCACCACCACCACCACCACCGCCACTTCCTCTGCCTCTTGAGTGGGGACTAAGGTGGGGCAAACCAGGCAGGGTGGGGGATGGTGGCACTAAACTAAGTGCTCCTCATTGCCGGTCTTCACCCCAGCACCCTGCTTGCCACGCTTTGAATCCCCCAGCCCTTCGCACAGCTCTCCCAATCCTACCCTGCCTATATCATTTTCTCCTGGTTGACCTTTTGTTCTGATGTCCTGTTTTGTTTTTTGAGACAGGATCTTGCTGTGTAGATCAGGCTGGCCAGGAACTTACTATATAGCCCAGGCTGCCCTCTAACTTGTGGCAGTCTTCTTGCCTCAGCCTCCCAAGTGCTGGGATCAGAGGTGTGCTAGGCTCTGGGTCACTGTGAAGCTTTTCTTCAGGCAAGTCTTCAGTTTTGGTATTCCCCAAGTATGGTTGGGATTATTTCTCTTTTGTTTCCAGGACACACAGCTAAACTACATCTCCCAGCATCCTTTGGTGCTGAGACTGACACAGGACTGGACTCTGGTTAATTGGAGTATGGGTACAAGTGCTATTGCCTCTTGCAGACCTGGACTGTACAAGCTGTTGGTTCCTCTTCTTCCCTCTCATCAACTGATAGAAAGCAGAACAGGTCCTGGCCCTTGCAGAATGACAAGAGTACAAAACGGAAGGAGACTGAGTCCCCGGATACGCCAAATGCCAGCAGGAAATTGTTATACAAATAGAGAAATATCTGAATATTCTTTCCTTTCTTCCCCTTTGCCTCCTCATCATCATTTACAAAAATTTAAACATTTATTTCTAAAATTTAAAAAAATATGTATGTAGGTGTTTTGCCCGAATACATGTCTGTGTACCACCTGTATGCACGGTGTCCAAGGAGGCCAGAAAAGAATGTCAGACACCCTAGGACTGGTTATGGTTATGAACCATCATGTGGATCCTGCTATTCAAGCTGAGTTCTCTGGAATTGTAGCCAGTGCTGTTAATGACTGTGCTCCAGTCTCGGCCCTTTCAAATTTTTAATTATTTGTTTGTTTAGAGACAGGGTCTCTCCATGTAGCCCTGGCTATTCTGGCACTCACTCTGTAGAGACCAGGCTGGCCTCAGGCTCACATGGATCCACCTGCTTCTGTCTCTGCTTAGATTAAAGCATGCATCATGGCTCCCAGCCTCCAGACCTGGAAAAAAAAAAAAATCAGAGACTTGATATGTATGTAGTTCAAACTGGGTTGATCCTCAGCCTCCCGGTTGCTGGGATATTAAGGTAGGCTCTGATGTAACAAATGCACCTCAAATGTCAACAGTTTAACTCAAGGGACTCAAGGGAGTTTTTCTGCTGGGCACAGTGCTAACTGTGTTCAGTAAACGATATTACTTCTTTATTTATACACCACACCATTATTACCACTGATCACAATCTGGTCACCATAGCTCATGCCTGTAATCCCAGCTACTCTGGAAGGCACGAGTCCAGCCTGGGTCACATAGTGAGACTACTCAAAACAAAACAACAAACAACTAGAAACCTGTATTTAACCCTGAAGCCCTCCTCAGTGCAAGGCCTGTAACCATCTCTGGAGCATGTGTTAGAATTCATTCATGCATGT